TACTTTTTTAAAAAAAAAAATGTGCTATTTTTACAGTATTCGGGAAAGGTGCTACCCGTTTGCTTACAAAAAGTAAAGGGGCCCGAAACACCCATGAAAAAAAGGAGGGTGGGGGGCACGGATCTGGACTTGGGGGTTCAACAAACTGCGGAGAAGCGAGCGCGGAGCTGCCCAGGCGCAAGAAAGCCACCGGCTCAGCGAAATTCCCTGGGCTGAACCCGGCGCAGGCGCAGACGCTCCAGGGCTGCGGGGGTGGCAGAGGCGGAAGCGAAGGAGGCAGACGGTTGGGATGTTTAGAGGAAATTGACACTCATTTCCTCTCTGTGGTTTGGTTACAAATCAACAACATCCTGTTCTTTTGTGAGGCTCGGCGGCGTCTGCCAGGCGGATGGCTGCAGTCCCTTAAAGCTGCAGCAGCAGCAGCAGCGGCGGCAGCGCTGAAGCTGGCTGGGCTGGGTGGAGGAGGGGCGGCGAAGGCACCCCCCCCCCCGGAGCCCGCGCGCGGGGCTTTTCCCTATGCACCGGTTGACAGATCGAGAACTGGGATCCAAAGATCTAGTTAGGAAAGGGAGCGACCCGCTCTCCCCTTGGCTCCTTCGGGGTGCACGCCCGAGCCGTATGGCGGAGCTGCAGCTCTTTCGCACCCTTTTAAGCTGGCGGCGGCTTTCCACCGCTTTTTGCTTTTTACGTTGGCTTTACTTCTCTGAGTAAGCATCTCCCGAGCAACCCTGCGTAAGGACGGGCTTGCTTCGGGAGCAAGGACAATATTGACAAGGAGGGAAACTCCGCTGGGTTGAAGGGAGTTTATTATCCCGGGTAAAGAGATGAAGATGGCTTTCCGGGAAAGCGGTGGGCGCTGATCCCATTCCCCTACTCCGCCAGGCAACGGCGAAGCGATGTTGAATAAACGGGGCTGTAAGGAGAGTAAAATCCTAGTGGCGGGTCAGCTCCAAACTGGGTGCAGGACAACTAACCCGGCGGCGATAAGTTTTTATTCTCCTTACAGCCCCCATTTAGCATTCAGAAATAAACTCATCTGTTAAACGGAGCTTGTTCGTAACACGTTTTGTATTTTTAAGATTAGAGTGATTAAATCGGGTTGAAATCCATGTCTGGTTTGGGTCGTTTTTTGGGGGTTTTTTTTAGTAAACCTGCCTATAATCCAGTTAGGGCCACTTGAAAAAACGGCTATTATTTAGAAATTCCTTATCTGGCTTTGAATTCTAATGGCATGATCTGCATCAATAAAGATTATTCAGCAAAAATAACAACAAATACTAGCTGTAGATTAAAATAGAAGGAGCTTTCCCCAAAATGGCCAATGAATGGCCTGTTTAATGGTCCTGAAATTCTGGGAAAAAAGAAAACATGAAAAAACAAGAACAAAGCAAGGGATAGCAAAGCTAGAGACTGAGGTGATGTTACAATATGTCAATCAGAAATACAATACAACAGAATATTAAATCCAGCACATATAGCTTTTTGGGACCCTGATCAGAAACCTTTGCTACGGCAACATTTAGAAGCAGGAGTTAGGACCCATTTTAAAATCCTAATTTCAAATAAAGGGTGTGTGTGTGTAGATAGATGCTGAAGATATTTCAGTCTGAAGTCCTGCATTAAATAAGCGGCTGGAATGGATAACCGAAATTATCCCTTCCAGCTTTACAATTTTTTTTTTTACTTCACAGTTTCAGAGCATGAAAAAGCTGTGCTATATAAACACATGCACACAGAACAAATTTTAATGCTAGTTTTCTAATTGCAGACTTAATTGTTTTCTAGTTTCTGGGTTAATGTTGGTCCCCCATTTGCCAATCTTTTGTGGAACTAACTTCCAAATAAATGCTATCTGAATTGCAGTTTTATTGCCCAGTCCTAATCATGTTTACTTAGAAATAAAATGCCTGTTGTTTCCCATTTTACTCTCAGCTTTATTTTACAATATTGAATCTAAAACAGACAGGAAGGAAATATTAAAACTTTTTATGGCAGTGTTGTTGTTTTTTTAAAAAAAAGCTTTTAATATTTTTGGACTTCTCTATATCCACTTGGCTAATTGTATACCACAGACAAATATTTCTGATAAAAGCTTAAAGGATAAATTCTAAGTTAAAACGTACTGAGTTCTTTCCAGAATTTGGTTTGTAGTGAAATGGATTCCACTTCCACATTTCTTAATTATAGGAACCAGGGAAAACATGGGAGATCAAAAAGAACGCAACTCAGCAGGCCTGGGAAACTGAAGAACGAGAGTCCAAGGGAAATACAAGTAGCAGACTAAACTTTTCCATCTCGTGTAATTCTAGCATTGTACTTGGCCCAATGAAACTAAATGGCAGTGGAATCTTAGGCAAAATGCCCTCCTGGAATACTGCATTTATAGAATTGCCATCCTACAGTATGGAGATGACAGCTAACTCTCTTTAAAAGAAAGGAATACTTTTTTGGGAGGAACAGCTATCAATGGCTCCTAGACTTCAAGCTTAATGGGATTTGAGGCTCAGAAGTAGAATCAGGCCAGTTTCTGAAAAGCAATTGTCTGACTCATCTTTCCAGAAACTCGGGAGTGAGAAATAGAACTCCTCTCAGGCTATAAGACTCTATTTTTTAAAATATTCAGCATTTATATTTATATCTCAGCCATAAATAGCACCTAGTATATTTATTTTTAACCTGTAGGAGTTGGAAGTGCTGAGTTTCTGGCTTGCTTAAGGTGGTTGGAAATTATGGGATCTGTAATATTGTAATAGATGCTGTAGCTGTAATCTATGAGCAGCTCTTGAGGAAAGATTCATCCAACCACTTTCTATACAGCAATAACTCTTAAGACAATACCTCTAAACCAGAGGTATCAAACTCAAGGGCACCAAATCTGGCCCGTGGGTACTTAGATCTGACCCGTGGGGCTGTCCTGGAAATGGCAAAGGACTGGCCTGCGGTGCTTCTGCCAGCGAGAATGGGCTCCCGAGTTCTGTTTTCAGCTGCCACAGCATGCAACCCTCTGTCAGTGAAAACGGAGCTCCATTTTCACTGGCAGAGGGTTGCCGGAGGCCATGGCAGCTGAAAATGGAGCTCGGGGGCCCGTTTTCGCTGGCAGAGTACTTGGGCCACCACAGTTGCCCCCGACATGAGTGATGTCAAGCTGGCCACGCCCACCCTGGTCATGCGCCCTCCCCCCCGCTCTCCCCGATGTCAAACACAACCCTGATGCGGCCCTCAATGAAATTGAGTTTGACACCGCTGCTCTAAACCTTATGAAAATTCACAGTAACCTGGAAAATATTTCAGAAATCTGTTTCTAGGGTCTTGCAGTCAAGAGTTAGTAGAAAATCCTGCTAAAGTATTAAAGTAACAATTCTTAAGAGATTCCCATTCTCTAATCAAGTAATAGATTATTAAACACCAGTTCAAAATAATATACAAAGTCCTGACTGTGTTGTTTCTCTCTCGAGGGGATATTTTAATCATTATGGAAAGGTGAGCTACAGTATTTCTACTACCTGATCTATTGTATTTGCAAAGGATACAGTGGCTAGGATCTAAGAAATCCAGTACAGCCATACTGTAATCGTGCACTGCTCTGAAAGCTTGTTTTCAAAGAGCAGCTTTCTATTGTAGATGCATGCTTCTGAAATTAAAAGACTTCCAAAAGCAATTTGCTATGTGACTTGAAAGCATACTTTCATGGGGGGAAAAAAACCCTGAAGAAAAAAATTCCTCCAAGTGTCCAAAACTCTATTGCTAAAATAGTTATTTAAATGTCGTTAGTATAGCACCTTAAATACTAACAAGAGTCGATATCACTATCCCTCTAACCGAAGGCTGCTATGCAAAGTTAGCTACAGCTTCTCTCGCTGATTTAAATATGTTTATTTCAAAAAATATAATTAATGAGGTTAAACATCCCCTAAATCTGCATCGGAAGATGGAAGTGCCATTTACGACCCCCATCCTTTTCACCTGAGGCAATATGTTATCCTCATCTTTGCTGTTTTGGTCTGCTTAGATCCCAATTGCAGTAATTAAATGACGTCTCCTCCAGATTTAATACTAGCACATCCGGGATGTATTTGTTTACAGTACAGTCATTTCTTCTCTCTGTCTCTTTGCTATGCTTTGGGCATTCACCATAAATATCAAAGTTATTGCTGATTTCTCTAGAGAAAAGTACAACATTGATAATCATAGGGGAAGAAGAAAAAAGATATCAGTGGCTTGTTGGACCTGATCCTATGATGATATTATTTCTAATCTGCCAACTAGCTGAAGGGGCTGCATTCCAAACAGATTTGAAAGGCACTTACAACCCAAAGACAGGCTTTAGAAAACGGAAGAAAAATAGTAAAATAATAAAATGCTTATGAAAAATATGAAACATTATTCCACTGTGGAATGGGCACTGAAAAAATAAACAACAGAAATGCCAAGAAGAGGGGGAGACTTCAATCAGCCCTAAGGAAATAATTTACCAGGGGCATCCCCGGTGCTACAATCCATAAGTAAGGGCCCAACAATGACTGAGGACTTGAAAGATGACCATAGACCCAAGGAGGAGGTTTCCGAAGATATCACCAGAACAAGGCATATCTGTGCCTAGCTACAGTGTAAACACCCTGAATCCAGTAAGGCCTAGTTCCAGGTGAGCACAGGAAGGAGCTACTAGAGTTGGCAGACACCTACACGGTACATTCCTAGTATCTAGTTTTGCAGCTACAGCCATAAATCAGCAGTTGAAGAGTCCCACAAGAGGAAGCACTTCAGTCAGCAGAAACACCCCAGTAGATTTATCTCTGATTTGAAAAGGTTCCTGTTTCTCATTTTTAAAAAGGGCAAGTATATTAGCCACTTGCAAAAAAAGCAGCAAAGAGTTTTATGGTATCTTGAAAATTAATATATTGTATTATCATGTCAGCTGTCATGGGCTAAATTTGCTGCTGCAGACAAACGGGTTTTTCTCCATCAGCTTTTTTTAAACAAAAAAAAATGAATGTGCTCACCTGGTTTTCTGGATTCTCTTAGCTTCTCCCTTTCTTAATTTTGTCAATTCATTGTAAATTGTCTCAAGCATTCAACAGAAGGGTAGACAATTCAGAAATCTGTAAGAAAAATATTTGGCAGTAACATACGTTTTACCTCTTGTTTTAAAAAAAACATATTTTCTGCTACTGGTAAGTCCAGAGAAAGTAGTCAGCTGACTACCATAGGATTCATAGAGTTAAGAACTCAAGGAAGAGAACTGATTAGTTCCAGATTAAGTTTTGGCAAATAAGTATCTTGCCCATGCTATAAAATGCTATTCAGTCCATGGACCACCTAAGTTGGTATGCATTCATTTTGGATCATATATAACCCAGTTTGATCTACTCCAGATAATGAAATGGAAGATGGATCTACTCTAGAAAGTGCCATGGACTATGTAGACATTCTCTTTAGCATAGAAATTACTTGTCTATGGAGATTCTCAGTCATCCAGGTCATTGTTGTCGCAAAGTTGTTTTTTTCAAGAGGCAACTGGACTTTCTTTGAAGACATTTCGCTTCTCATCCAAGAGAGCTGAAGAAGCTTCTTGGATGAGAAGCAAAACGACTTCAGAGAAAAACCAGAAAGTCCAGTTGCCTCTTGAAAAAAAGCACCTTTGAGACATAGAAGCTGTACCAATATACTGCATTTTTCTATGCTTGTATTTGTCTGTTTCCACCACATTCAACCTAACTAATTGAAGCAATAGAGATTTAAGATCCCTTTTGGTTAAGGAGCTCACTGAATGATTTTGAGATTATCATGTTCTCCTGGCATAGCCTATTTCACCAGTTAGGTGCTATGACAACAAAATATGAAAAGATCATTCCCTGAGCCATATTAAGAATGCTGAAATATAAAATTAATTAATTAATAAGATTGAACCCATGACAGGAGCGTCATTTGGCTTCTATTCAAGTTAGATGCATAGTCAGGAGACATATAGGAAGCAGTCAAAAATAACTCGCTATGAATTTTTCTTGGAGAAAGGCTTTTGATTCTTTAGAATGAAGTACTGAATAAAAGAAATAACATGGTATATTGTGGGAACTAGGTAGGTTCTCAGAAAACAGAATGAGAAATACTTATCATAGACTCAGTTTCAACTACAGATATAATGGCTAAGCCCCAATTCAATTTCTGGACCATTGAGACTCATTATTATTATAATCAAGCAATAAAATGCCACTATCTTATCTCACCGGTTGCAATGCGTGATGTCAACTGCTCATTCAAAAATCAGGATGCTTTCCTCCAGTCCACAGAGCAAAAATAAAATTATTGATTTACTAGAATGAACTAATGATACATCTGTTTATAGATAAAGATGACTCTGGCTTTGTCTGCAAATCATTTATTTTGTAAGCCATACTCTGCACTCTATTTTCACTCAGATCAAAAAGGATACATTTGATCTGCTGAACTGTGAAATCCTGTCCAGGAAATGTCCATTTACCTATAAAGCATTGATTTAATCATTGGCTCCAGTACAAATCAGCTTGGAAAATATTCCAAACTAACTATCACTGTCTGCTAAATATGAGTTTTAGTTGTGGTCCTTGTCATGTGTTCAGCTAAAGAAAATAATTTCTTCTCCTGATTAGAAAGAGAGATGGTAGCTACAAATGATATGACAATAATACCCAGGAAGGCACCAGCTCCACCCATCGAAAGCTACCCATATACATTCTGGTTATCAACTGTGTCGCTCAGTACATTTGCCAGTTTGATTACACAAAAGTAAAAACAGTGAATTCAGATAATTAGAAAACAATAAGCAGGTGATTTAATTAAATCATTCAGAATCTGAATTTCCCTGATAGAGAATTGAATTGGTAAAGATAATTCAATGCAATAACTGCTATAATTTCTCAATGGGACATATTGACTTGCAACCTTGCTTAAATTTTCATCAGACCCACAAGAAGTCTTTACAGACAAGAAAGTATGGAAAATAAGATATGATGGGGAGGAAATGTCATTCATTCAGTTCCTGGATTCAGAGTGCTCAAATATCCTCATAGCATACAGCCCCTTAGGTCATGAGCTCCTGGGCATAATGCCAAAGGCCTTTAGGCACAAACCATGGGGGAGAAATCATCTTGGACTCAACCACAGCAAGGAAAAAGGGATCTAGGTTTTTTTGTCTCCCTAGTTCTGGTTAATATCATCTTTAACTCTTGCTGTGGTTGCACACTCCCTGAGAGAGCTTGTGTGCAATTTGAGGTCCTCAAGGAGCAGGTAACAGCTATTGCTGGGGAGTGGGGAGGAGTTGCATAGATATATCTTGTGTGCCCGTTATGTCCATTCCTAGATTGGGAAACCTAGTTCACAGTCATCCACGACCTGGTAATTTCTCATCTGGATGATTACAATGTGCTCTACAACGGGACTTCCCTTGAGTCCATCGAGAAATTACAGCTGGTTCAGAATGTGGCAGCCTGTACAATTCTGGGCTGTTTGTCCATGCTGTGTGAGATACACTGACTTCCAATTTCTTTCTAGGTGCGATTCAAGACACTTTCTGTCAGGCACAGATAACCAGTAGCATTAATTGAGTTCAAAGCACAGAAGAGTTTCTTATTGCTACCTATACACAAGCATCTAGTCAACTAATGGTCAAAATTAAATTTGTGCTAGATAAGGGTCAATGGAATTCACAAGGTGCTGGGCTTGGCTATGTAACCTCCACCCACCCCCAAATAAGAATCAGTCATGAGTAATTCATAGAGGATATAAGTACCAGGTATTAATGAGGCAGGAGGAAAAGCCAGAGGTTTCATCTACGTACATGACAGTATTTGTTCCACTCTTTAGTTTTAACCCAAATTTGGGAAATTGAAATAAATGTCACCTCCTGAAGCCAAAAAAAGTTAGGTTCACAGATGACCACAGATGAAAGAGAAAACAATTTCATTGTTAGCACTAGTTTTTATTACTTGGCCTTGACAGTGAAGAAATGTAAGACAATATGTATCTCATACATATTTTCATCCGCAGTCTGAATCCTCCATCTTTTATGTTACCTTAACTTAGGATAAATCATATCTGGATGGCTAGAAAGAGTCAAAGGGGAGGGAGAAATGTTATTTTAGACTTCTCTCCTTTGCTCTACAAATAAGGATTTGGGAATACAGCCTGCCTTGACTGAACTTCAGCATTGTTGAAACATCTGGCCAGATTGTTGAATTATACACATTGCTGAGGTTACCTTAAATGCATGTTTCCAGAATTAGGGAAGAAATGGATTTTTATAGTCCATACTCAATATAGCTGAAACTACTGTCTACCTAGTCAGATTATTGGCTCTACGGGTCAAGGACATGTTTTTCTTCAGAAGTTGAATTGAAGACATAGATCATGGACCTGCACGTTAGGCCAGAGAATGGGAACTCCAGATGTTGTAGCCTCACTTGCACATTTTCATCTGGTGCCCTTTTTGATCTTTTATGAAGAGAATGTCACATCCTATGCTGAACCCTATCCCTTCTACCCACCTTGGATTTGCAAAGTTGGCAAACAATTAAGCTGGGATTCAACCTCCCAATTTAAGGGGCAAAAGAAGGTAGCCTGCTGAGATAGCACTATCTATCATGCTGAAAGAGGAAGGATATTGCTATGTTGTTCTTTTTCAGGTTTTATTTTAAGTTCTTGAGGCTGATTCATAAATTTCAGCAATTCAATTGATGGGATTACTACCTTTTCTAGCAAGAAGCTGCTGCATACCTAAAACTGATTCAGGAAAGCAATGACAACACCAACTGTTTCCCTTCCCAAATATCACATTTGAAGCTAATGAAGGTGCAACAGATTATTATTTGAGGGGTCCTTGGTGTTCTCTGAGCTTGCTTGTTTTCTTGCAGATGTTTCATTACCCAAAGCAGGTAACATCATCTAGCACTGGTGATGTTACCTAGTTTGGGTAATGAAACATCTGCAAGCTCAGAGAGCACCAAGGACCCCTCAGGTGAACCTTGAGCTACAAATATTCTCCTTTATTAGATTATTATTTTACTTCAGGTGATTTGACTGTATAAAATATGATAGCCTTGAGAAGCTGAAGGGTTAACACTGTGTATCATCCAACTACTTTAACCTTCTTTGCTAAAAGAAGGACTATGGGTGACATGATAGCAGTGTTCCAATATTTGAGGGGGCTGCCACAAAAAAGAGGGGGGGGGCAACTATTCTCCAATGCACCAGAAAGCAAGACAAAAAGCAATGAATGGAAATTAATCAAGGAGAAAAGTAACCTAGAATTAAGGAGAAATTTTCTAACAGTGAGAGCAATTCATCAGTGGAACAGATTTTCTTCAGAAGTTGAGTGCTCCCATCACTGTAGGCTCTTATGAAGAGATTGGACAGACACTTTTCTGGAATGGTATAGGGTCTGCTGCTTGAGCGGTAGTTGGACTAGAAGACCTTCAAGTTCCCTTCCAGCTCTGTACAGTATTCTGTTCTTTAGCACCCACTCCCTAAGAGGCACTCACATTGCCCATGGATATAGCCAGCTCTGCAAGAAAACGATACCTCCTTTTTTTTTTTGCATAGCTGTTCTTAAGCTTCTCAGGAGATATTTATTGTGTGATTTAGTTTTCTGTTCTAGAAATTCAAGCAATTCTAATGTTATCAGTAAGTCTTTGAAAATAATGTTTTGGAGTAGAGATGAAGTTGATGTGAATTTTAAAAAAATTACAAAGTGTATACTCAGGTTTTGTTTTGTTTTTTTCTTTCCTGAACTTTCACGTGAAAAAGGTCTCCGTAAGCTGAGAAGGAAGCAATTCCTTTTTGCATTCCTTAACTTATACAAACACACAGGCATTAGCTATCAGTTAACAAAATGGTTACTATTCCATGAGGTAAACTCTAATGTGTTATACCTTTTAATAAAATGTGTTAATCTGAAAAAGTGCTACCAGGATCCATGTGATTCTATTCAATATCTTTTATATATTAAATAGTAATTTGTATTTCTACGTCATTTTAAATATTCAAGGGGCCATTTTCAATTTATTCTACAATCCAGAATAATGCGAAGTCTTCATGGGGGAAAAAATGTTTCTGAATCTCCCTTCGTGTTTACTTCCTCTATTAAAGTGAACGAGAGGCACTTGCAATTAATATTTAACAAGGTTACAGGAACAGTCGAACGTTATGAGATTATTGAACACATCAACAAGTCAAGTCTTCAGAAATTCTCATTCACTGTTTCTTGAATCATGTCTGAATGTAAATTTAATTATATTCCAATTTCCTGGAAATTTTCTTGGCACTTTAGAGAGGTGTATTTCTGAGTCAATACTAAGATGAAAATTTGACTTGAACAGGAGGTTCCATTCCTACATAGAAGGCTATGCTGCTGTAAATCCCAGTGCTCTTTACAAGGATCAAAGGCACTATAAATTCTAGATACCTCCTTTCCCCATTGGGGCAAGAAAGAGTTCCACATAGAAAATATACTGACTAGAATTGCAATGAATTCAGTTAAAAAAGGATCATATAACTTATATCTAATTTACAACGCAAGTGTTTAGCTAGAAAAATATATTCAAGGCTTTTACTGACGATTACCCTGCTTCTTTATAGAACTGTAGAGGCAATGTAATAATTTTATCTTCCATTCTTCCCTCCTACTGTTTTTTTTTTCATATTTTATTTTTAATACCAAATACCTATTAACATTTACCAAACATCGCTATTACCAAATATGGTTATACAGAGACAAGAGTAGCAATGCCCTGTCTTTTGATTGATAGCACAAAGAGCCCCTTTAGCTGGGAACATTTACTGAAATAAAGAGATCTTCCATTTCTTTCTATTTCCCATGATTCACACAAAATGGAGAAATATCAGACTGTAGGTGGTCTGAAAATATTCTTTGAGCCTTTCCACTGAGTGAAAGTAACAGCTACATTTCATTTTACCAGAACACCCCATAAAGGTGTTGCCATAGATTTGGATTGCATTACTTGGATAAACTGTTTTGCTTAAGACTCATCTGCATTTCTGCTCTATTCTGCCCTTCTCCCCATTTCAGGTTTATTTTACTGCTTCTAAAGTTCAGTGATGATGGATGAGACCAAATGTGATGGACTAACAGCTTCCACCCACCCCCCTCGGCTTGGGGGTGGAGATCATTGTAGTCCTACACAACTGGAGGTCACTGAATTTGAAGATGTCAGCTCACATGGTTTTGCCCAGCTTTTCTGGATGATCCAGGTTCTGCTCTTGCTTGGGAAGATATTCTGGAAAATCAAATGCGGGATTCGAACCGCCGAACTGCCGACCTCCCTTTCTGATCGACAAGCTCAGTGTCTTAGCCACTGAGCCACCTAGTCAGGCTAATTTTTTATTCTTTACCCTGGGGTTGTTTTTTTACTCAGGGTTCTCAGATGCACTGAATGCAGCTATGATATAACAAATGAAACAAACAAAATGTTAAAAAGTTATGATATTTATATACTTACTTACCAAGCACATCTACATTATATCAAAGTAACCAAAATACTTTTACAATTCCCCCAAGACATTGAGCACACCTAATGTTTGAAAACTGCAAGTTGAAAAATTTGACACGCCCTATAAATACGACCCTCTCCTGGGGGAAAAGAAGAGAGGAAGCTGATGGGGTGGAGGATTAAGGAATGAGTATTGATTTCCAGCTCGGCCGTTTTCCATCGATTCAGAGGCCTTTTCTCAAACACATCCCTTCCTTCCTGCTGTCCTCAAGGCTGACAGGAATGCAGACCGTGTCCTTTAAATGAACAACAATGCAATATCCAATACAGGGAATTCCAGATTTCTTCTGAACCGTTGACGTGGGAAACGAATAAAATCGGAGTAAAGCCCTACACAATTTCCAGAATTGTGAAAGGATTGGGAGAGGGGGGCATGTTCTCCCACCCTCCCAGTGTCGTCTTCATTTTTTAAAAGGTCTCCGAAACACCTGGACTTCAACTTAATTAAACCAGAAATGCCGTGGCCGCCCTTCAGAGAAGGAGAGCAGGCATCGGCGTTGTATCGCGATCCCGCGGGACGTCCAGAGGCTCACTACAGACCTCGGGAAATGAAAGCCCAGCACCAGCCAGGAGAAATACTCGCAAAAGGATCCGAAACAACGTTCAACCGCACTTTCTCTTACGCCCTCTCCGCCCGCCTTCCTTAATTACTCATGAGAAATCCCAGCGGCCGCCCTCGATCGCAAAGACAAAGGATATTTTTCCACTACGACCTATTTCCTTTATTTCACTCTTAACCGCACATCCACTCCCTGCCTCTACTGTACTTCGCTTTACCATCAGCCCGAGGCTGGGGGTGTGTACTGTGGTGCATGCGCAACTGCCTGCAGCTACCGCGTTTCATTCATAAAAAAAAAAAGAGGAAAAACACCAGTCTATAGTCATCCTTAACTCTCAATGAGTTCCTTCCGGCCCCCCATTCATAAAATGAGAGCAGAGCATGCGCCTTGGAACTCCAGTGCCCACCCATTCATAGAATTGGGAGGACAAGCATGCGTAGTAGAGGCCCTTTCCCTCCCATTCATAAAATAGCCATTTTCCCAGGCAGCGGTTGTTGCAACAGCGAAGCGACGGCTGCCGCCGCTCCTGACAGCGCACCACTTGTTCAGGTTGCTCTCTGAGCCCCGGGTGTGTTTCGTGTCGATTTTAACCTCATCCTTCACCACCCACGTGCAAGTACAGCCGGGATTTTTCTCGGATTTAGGATTAACTCGCCTGTTGAGATATGATCTGGACTGGATTGTTGAAAGTAAGTAGGAAAAAAAAATCATCGCGGGATTGAGGGAGCGGGAGGAAAGGGGATGAAAGAAGGGGGGATCGTTCTACTTCCTCGTCTGATCTTCTGCGGGAAAGGCGTGTGCCCTGAAACTTCTTGATGTATCTTGAGAAGAAGAAAAAAAAACCCCACCAAGACCAAGCTTTATTCTTTTTTCCCCCCCACGAATTGTCTCTTCGGCACGGGCTGTAATTAAGTCCGATGCTCCTGCGATAGAGACTCGTCCCTTCTCCCTACACACCCGCCTTATTAAGGCACTGTGTTAGTCGCAGGCACCTGGGCGTTCGCTGGGATTAAGGATCGGTCTGTCGGCCGCATCCTATAGCTGCGTCTGCCCCGCTTGTCGCTCGGGATCAGCCCATACAGCCAAAGGGACTGGACTTTCCGGCTTGCAGCCCGGCTGCACGGGGGAACGTCGAGCTTCCTCCCCCCCCCCCCGCCTTGCCTTTGGCATCTCTGTCTCTGTCTCTCTCTCTCCTTCCTACCTCGTTAAGCTTCATGCGGTTCCGACGCCTCGGCTGGGATCGGGGCAGTCCCCCAGCCAAACTGCTTGCTCGCTGCCGTGACCTTTGCTCTTTTTCGCTTGCCTTTTATTTCGGGTAACCATCCTGCGATGCGGTCTCGTTCTTACCCCCACCCCCAAAACCCACCCCGTATATGCTTCGCTTCGCCTGGTCCCCCTTTTTCCTTCTCTCCCCCCCCCTCCCCAAACTCCCTCAGCGGCTTGTGGCTTTGAACTACGAGATTAGCTGGGAGGATCGCGCTGCGCTAGAAGGAAACGGCGCCAGCTGGGTGTGCCAAGGGCTTTTTTTTTTTTGTACCTGTGCGCAGCAGACGAGCTAGAGAAAAATAGCGGGGGGGGGGACGGGTGGTGGTGGGAAGCGCTGATCTCGTCGGGGCCTTCTCCACCTATTGCGTCGTGGAGATCTAGGCCGAGGCTCGAACCGGCTGGGCCTCGCCAACGTCGCACAAGATAGGAGAGCTAGAACCCCCCTCCCCCTCCCAGTGCGGCCTGGTTGCAGGTCCAGGGCAGAAAATGGAAGGCGCCGAAAAGAACCCAGAGGCTGAGCCAGGCGAGGAGGCCGCCAAGGAAGGGTCTCGATATCTGACCGGGATGGGGGTGTGTGTGAGAAAGGGGCCTAAACTGTGGCCACTTCCGAAGGTCCCCACCCCGGTCGGAAGGGCAGCCTCGAGAGGGTGGCGTTGCAGTCTGCCGCTTTCTTGCAGTGCAGCCCCTGAAATGTCAGTGTCAATTTTTTTCTCTCCTTTTATCGAATTTAGTAAGGGTGGAAAGACGGGTGGGCTGCCCAGGCTCTTTCCTATCTTCCAACACGTTTGATTATTTTATTTAAAAACGCCTGGCGGTCTAAATATTGAGTTTCTGCTCTGCTTGACACCCCTCTTTTAACAAAAATAATAATAATAATAATTAATAATTAATTAATTAATAATAATAATAATAATAACGTCATCAAATTCACAAGGAAACAGGACAGAATATTTCAGTCCTGATGTTAAAGCTCTCCCTCACACACACAAACACGCTTGCTCTCACTCCCGTATTGTTCTTTTCTATCTTTCCTCTCTCCCTCTAATATTACTAATTACTGTAGTATGTTCAACGTGTAACCTAGTTTTCTTGATCTGGAATTGTTTTTAAAAGAAGTCTTGTAAATTGGATCGTTGAATGACCAGGATCTCTTCCACTGCTTTCCTTCTACTGACCCTCCAAGTTCCCATTATATAAAGGTGAACAGTAGAGGAATTAAGGAAGCATTAAAACATTTTCAGGATATTGGAATGCTGTTGATAACGTCTCCATTTGATAAATGCTGCTTCCTACAACCTATCGGTTGTTCAAGGAGTCTGTATGGGATTCCTGTATTCAAGCACCTCTTTTTAACAGCTGCCTTCCCCTTCTGCAAATGATCTTTTCACCTGCAAAAAATTGAAAAGGTTTATATACTACATAAAATGAAAAGGTTTCTGCTGCGCCACTTCTAACTCTGCCTGTGCAAAGCCATGGTTTTGTGTGACTGGGTTTTGTAAAATGGCTGCAGCAAGAAGCTTTCCCTTAGCAGCAACTTTCCCTACCTGGTGCTTTCCAGGCAGGTTGGACTACAAGTCTCGCCGTTCCCAGCCACCACAGTCCATTGGGAATTACAGTCCAACACATCTACAAAGGTCCAGGTTATGGGAAGATTACTTTCCATTTACCTTCATGTTCCCATGTAGGGCACCTATTGAGTATAATGTTCGTTAGACCTTTTGAGAGCAACGTTGCTTTTCCCTTTTGACAGATGGAGTTGTGGTGGTTGTCGCAGTCTTAAAAGACCTGAAGCCTGATCCTAAGCATGTTCACTCAGAAGTAAGATTCACTGAATTCAGTGTGCCTGGTAAGTGTGTTTCTTTGGTCTGGGTAGTGGCAGCTCAAGAATTATAATCAATGTCTAAAAAAAAAACCTGGGCTAATTTATTTATTTTTTGCTTAGAAATCAAGCAATACTGTTGATGTGTAGAACACAGATAAATTCACAGGGTGCTGGATGGTTTTCCTGTAAAAAAAGAAAGTTTGGTGTTTAAAGTGAAAAATTTGAAGCACTTGAAACATTTGATTATAATTCTCCTAAAATATTGCAGTTTTACCATCCCGATTTTAAAAATTTAATCAATTTGCCATTTCATTCCATTTTATTCATTTTCTTATATCTGAATGTGGCTTCTTTTATACCAAAGATTTATTCCAGGTAGACTAATTCCATTGCATCAAAGTCACTCCCTTGATTAAGTAGAGCTTGAAATTAGTTGAGGAAGGAATTGGAAGCAAATTTTCTGAAGTACATGAGGTATCATTTAAACCTAGAAAGAGATAGCGTGTGTGAAACTGGATGCTCCTGATTTATGTCAAGTGTTCCCTTTAGTGTAGTTTGAAGTCTTCTGATGCTATTCAGTGTTAAACACTACATGTTCCATGGGGATTACAAGTAATTTAATCCTCATTAACTGGCATTCCTGTTCTCCTGTCAGTTTGGTCAATGCAAGGGAGACTTTTTCCTTGATTTGCATACTGGGAAATTCTTTTGAATGTTCCATTGTGTTCTGTCCTCTGTATCTTCCCTGAAGATACAGTTTTCAAGTAGTAGTTGCTTTTTCAAGCATTTTGTAGCTGAAAATATTTCTAGATTAGGAATCAGAAAACCTACAGTTCATCAGAAATTTCATCATCCCTCACTATTGGTCTTGCTGGCTGGAATTGGCTTAGAGTCAAGATCAGAATGGCCACAGATCCCCCCCCCTTTTTTTTTTGAAATCTTTTTTGAAATCTTTCATTCTAATACAGCAGGGCGATCTTCATAATTGAGATATTTACATTCACCCTTACCAGACTGACTGTTTACAGTTGTGCAAATGAGCACCCAGAATATAGAGCAACTATAGACAAGGCCTGGGTATTTGATCAGACATTTTATTGAAATTCCAATGAATTTCCTTCAGAAGGTTTACTGCTCAGGAATGTATGGGAAGCCCAGCATTACGTCTTACTAGGGATGGTACTTGTCTTGTGGTTTTGTGTACATGAAATTGCTGTACCTACTGTTTCTAGTTTCATATTTCTCCATGCAAATTGAAAATTTGCTCAATCCTCTGGATCATTGTCTACATATGACAGATAATCTGCCCAATTTCTAACCCCCCAAATGGTTGACCCCAAAGTAAGAGTTTCTCCTCAGATTCTTTCACTGTTGCCTTGCCTGCTTCTAGAAGTCTTTTGTCCGAGTGGAATGAATACTTTCTTATTCTCTCTCAATTCATGCCAGGATTCTCTGGAACATTCAACAAGAGCAGTTGAAAGTTCCACAGCCATTGCATGTTTACTCAATTCAGTAGGCTTCTGCTCTTTCTTGAACAGCTCTTTCGGGGGGTGGGGGGGGGGGGGGGGGAAGAGTAAAGTTTCCCTTAAAAGAAGGTTTTGTTTGGTTTGTGAGAAAAATCGAAACCTGTATTAAAACTATACCTTTTGTAAGATTTATAAAATAATAATAATCTTCCAGCTTTTCAAGGGTAGACATTTGTTTTCTTCCTCAAGATGATTAAAAACCAAGACCCAAAAACGAGGGGAGGGAAACAAAGAGAAAAACATCGGCTTGTATTTGAGCCAGATTTGTAGCAATTTACATTCTTCAATGGAGTGAAGACAAGACTCCAAATTGTGTCCTATTGGTACTGCTTTTCCACTGATAACTCTGCACGAGAGATGGATCTAAATACTTTGATGTGTTCTACAATCGCCCAGGCACACCTAGGGATATGTTTAACTCAGCAACTGAAAGCCACAGGACTTGGAAATCTCTAGAAAGCTATTGCTCTTTATCTTTACATTGAATATACACATAGTAAATTTATAAAATAAGAAATGGCATATTTGTAGAAATTCTACCGTTTCCCCCAAAATAAGACATCCCCTGATAATAAGCCCAATCAGGCTTTTGAGCGCATGGCAATAAGGCCAAGTGCTTATTTCAGGGTTCAAAAGAATATAAAACAGGGTCTTATTTTCGGGAAAATACGGTAGGTGGGGTTATTTATTTATTTATTTAGCATGTGGGTTGTTTGTTTGTTTGTTTATTTAGCATGCTGCTCCTAGTGACTTTGAGCAGCTCACAAATAAAAACAGTTTTAAAAAATACAATAAAAAACAAAAATAAAGAATTAAAAAATGACAAAGGCAACAACAACCAGACATGAACTTCAGAGTGGTGGGCAGGGAAAAAACTAACTCACGCAATCCGAGGAGGCTTCTCCCACCCTCACCAAAGCCGTGGAGAAGAACAACGTCAATGTTCCAAAGACCCAGCCAGATCTGATCAGTTGGGCAGATACTATGGCAGATAGTAACTGCCCAACTGATGAGAGGCCCTGTGATTACTGGATTACCTATGATTATGAATCAAATACATGGGACAATGAAATTGATTTATGTTTTAAGATTATATCTAACCTTCACTCTAAATGAACTGAAAATCCTTTTAAGTCATACACCTCATTTCTTCTGCTATGAAGTTGGGCTACAACTAATGTTCTACTTGGGGATGAATCCCAATGTACTTGGTACAACATATTTCCAAATAAGCATCCTTAGAAACACGACCTTAATATATTCACCATGATTATTTTGAAGGAAGTTATACTCCATAGCTATCTTCCATTTTGTAGGATGGTGGCCAGATTGCACCTTGATAAAATGTGCAATTAAAATATAAGGCTAATTATTAACTGAGGCACTTTCTTCCAGCCCCCTACCTTTGAGAGAGATTGGTCTAGTAGTCCAAATATTTATAGCTCTATTCTCTTAGTTCAAGCCTGCCTTTCTTGGGATTCAGGTAAGAACTCTGAATCCGAGTCTCCTATGGCCTAAGTCAACCACTAGAACTATGCTTAGTAAATATTCTATTCAGGATTTTGTTAATATGACTTCTTTTCAAGGCGTCTCTTTCTGAATTATTTTGTTATTTTTGAATTTCAGTATTTTCAGATTCATATCTGAAATAGCAGACATTGTTGCTTTAACATGCAATATCTTTTAGCATAGGAAGGAATAGACCGTTTGAGCCTTGCTTGCCGTGATCCTGAGCTCTTGGCTTTGATGACAGTGCCTGACGGGAATTGACAACACAGGATTGTTATCTAAATCCTAATTTAGAGTCTATAAAGGGAGGACACAATTTCCATTGATTCAAGGGCCACAGCAGACTTTGTGTAGTATAATAAGGACTGTGTCTCCCAAAATGGGTAGAGTCAGCTCCCCAACTACTGGGAAGATTTGAATTTCATAAAGGGTGAAATGAGACCTCAAGTCCCTCCAGTGCTTAGTGATCCAAGTGATTGCTCACAACTACCATTTCCTGTCCTGCTCTCCAGACTCAACATGGGAAGTCAATGGGTAAGGCTCATATAGAATGGTAACCTTGCTTCTGTTGCTACATATGAGTTGCATACGAAAAGGCTGTCCAAATGAATGTTGTGAACATGTTCAGTTGGAGGGACAAGAGAGAAAAGTAAAAAAAAAAACAATTACCTTAATTTCCTGGAAGATTGCCTGCAATGAAATATTCCTTTTTCATGATTTGACTTTGCTCAAAAAATAAAACGGCTCCATTTCCAATCCATAATTTATCTCTGTGTGTGTTCCAACCACTTTGTTCAGTTGTTTTATATAGAATCATCTCTAGTGCTGTTGTACCGATTTAAGTTTCATAGGCCATGTTGTTTATGTTGCTTATATTGTTCCTAATAATAATAATAAGAGAATTCTGTTCAGAATGCATCCTGAAAGTAGATTCTTATGTCGGCAATCTGAAATCCCTCCTACCTTTGCAAGCCTCATTTCTCATGTTTTCTCTGGGCTTGACCTTGAGTGCTAATTAATTAGCAATTAGTAGCATTTTGGATCAAATAGTAATGTGAAAGATTATATTTGGGGAGTGTGGGCATATAAGATATGCTATTGAATTATATGTCAAATCTCTTAGCATCTAATTTAATATCCAACTGCTTTTCTTCTTTGCCGCACAGTGCAGGTACTCTACTGATAAGGCTCAGGGGACGATTAAATTACGGGATCCAAACATTATCTATCAAACATCCATGGTTACATGAGAGTTGCTTTGTCACACTAGTTATTGTTGAAAAATCCTGGGTGGTGAACTTTTAAAGCTGAAAGCATGATTGTGGGATCATAAGTTTGTTAGTTCCAACCGCAATCTCACAAGTTTACCCAACTTTCTATGAATACCTATACTAACATTTCATGAGATCTTGTGAGGTGTGGTGCTATTGTGTGGTTTCAGCTGTAAATAATCTCTATTTAATGTTGGGGGCATCTTAGTCATGTTGCTTTTTGTCACAGAAGCATCAACTTCTGTTTTAAGATTCTACCTACCTTCAACATACTTTGAAAGTTCTTCAAAAGTATTGAAGAATTCTTTTTATTTTAATTTTTAAAATTCCTTTTTTTGATTGGGGTCAGTTGTTGTACAAGTAAGGTAAAGAGTTGTTGCCTGCTCTTAATCCCCATCAGTCATAATAAAAATGACTTTAGTAAGGAACTCTGCCTTTTTACAATATATCCACATCAGTCCTGGTCAATCCCTATACCATTGTATTATATGATCTACTGAACTTATTTTAAGTATTTTGCTTTTCTTTTCTTATTGTCCATTGGATGCAGTTCAGAAATAAGCTTCCACACAACACAGAGAGAGGGGGGAGGGAGTTGGAGAGGGGGGAGGGAGGGAGGGAGGGAGGGAGGGAGGGAGGGAGAGAGAGAGAGAGAGAGAGAGAGAGAGAGAGAGAGAGAGAGAGAGAGAGAGAGAATATGAATCTAGTTCCCAAAGGC